AAAACAATAATTGGCCTAACTGTGTATTAAATAACAGTGCTAAAACTAAAATGTGGCATATGTCATTCCGCCATTATTTTGATAAAATACTACCGACAAAACCCATAGTGTGCATGCTTAACTACACTTTGTCATATGAACAAGCAGTCGGTAACTACATTAAATCTCATAAGCCTTAAGTGCAACATTGTGAGTTGTGCTTGTGTTATAGTCACCCAAAAAAAGGCTCATACGTTGATGAATCAGACTACACTGGTAGTACTATATGTGTTTGCTTCATGCTCATATTAGTCATTTGTTGGTAAATTGGACTGGTTGAGGTATATGTATTTGATTCATAATGGAATCATTTGGTGGAGACCAAAATAATTCATAATGGAATCATTTGGTCAAGAGTCAATGGACTACACTGGTCATGCTGATAAGTTTTTTATTCACTACAAAAATCTGGCTCATAAGATTTGTTAGTTCAGTAAACTAACTATATATGTATATATATTTTACAGCTGTTTTCACACTATAGATTCAGTAGTAGTGCATCACTCTTGTCAAAATGTTTTAGTACACATTCATGAACCATTAATGGACCATTAATGTAATTGGCTATTTTGAATAAGAGCTAAGTCGCAAACTGATCAACATCTTTGACAAGGCAGAACCAAGGCAGAGTCCATCAGTGTCTTTTGTTTTCTTTCTTGCCGTTTAATATTCCTGCATGGTTTGATTTCACAATGAGCGATTTTTCAGGGTACAGATCAAATCTAGTCCCAGACGAAAAGTATTTTTGGAGATAATCCAGGACCCAGCTTTATGTGTTTTGGGAAAACTGACATTGCATGTACTCTTGGAGAACATTTTGAAGGGCGTATCAGCTCATGGTGATTTGCAAACCTGGCTGTCGCATAATTAACCGTCAGTAGCCTTGCCTGACTCAGATGGCTGAACCAGAGGCAAGAACACAAAGTTTTAAGTATTTAAAAGCTGGATTAGACTCTCCAACTTTAGATGAACCTTTTGAGGATTTTCAGTTGTGGTTAGAACATTTTTACATAAAAATCCTCAACAACAGTAGTTTTTTTTAGCTAGTTCACATCCATCTGGCCCACCTTGCGGACTCTACTGGAAATAGTTTTCCTGCTGTGCTTTGTGCCGCTCTTTCTTTTGTCTCTGTCCGTTTGATACTTCATACCATACTTCTTCAGGTTTTTTTTCTTCTTCTTATATGTTACTGTTTCTACTTGTCTTGTGGTTTTGTCTTTAGAGTCCGTCTCTCTGGGATGAAGATAATGCGCCCGCCTTTGGCCATTGGTCATTATAAGATGATCAAACATAAAGGAGATCAGGGTAATGAGCAGAACCCGAGAAGGTGATGTCACTTGGCAAAATATATTATAAACTTAGTGTTGGTACTAGGGTTGAACATTTCTGGTAAATTTCCAGAAACTTCCCATGGTTTTTTTTGGGAAACTTTCAGAAAATTTTGGAAGGTTTCTGGAAATTTTCCACCCTTTTACAACCCTAGTTGGTACAATCTTAAAAATAATGGTTCCAAATGGGGGTTTTCACAGTGATGCCATAGGAGAGTCATTCTGAGTTCCCCAAATAACCTTTAAGTGAACAGTTCTTAAAAGAATCATTATTTTTCTTGGTGTGAAGAACATTTTAATTTAAATAACTTTTTTCCACTGTAAGAGGCTTTTGTCCATCAAAAAGGTTCTATGGATGTTAAAGGTATGGAACCATAGATGGCAATAAATAACCTTTATTTTTAAGAGTGTATGGATAGATAAGTTTATTATTTAATCCATTTGTTCAGTCTGTTTATTGAGTCAGTTCCTCTTCATGAATTTGTTCTTGTAGGTTTGACTTGCTGAAGCGCACAAGGCTGAACTGGCACTCAGATGGCCTGAACTCACTGACTTATGAGCTCCTATCCAAAGAGTTGGAGCCATTGTACACTAATTTGTCTGTCAACATTGGGGATGATCCACACCGTCCCCCTGTGAAGGCTCCACCTCGGAAGTCAGAGCCTCAACCCGCTCCAGCTAATAAAACGAAGACTGAAAAAGTGGGTGCGGTCATCAATCATAATGCTACAAAAGTGGAGCCCACCCACTTGAAGGCCAATAATGAAAGTTCAAATGTTGGTCAAAAAGCTCCTTTAAACCAGGAGGTGGGATGATACTGATAATGGAGTATCCACAGACAATTCAGTTATTAATGGATAGTGGAGGGAAAACCAGTTTGCTCTTTATTTTATATCGTAAAGCATTGCTACTCTTGGCAAATAAGTTCACTCCACTGAAAGTTGACTGAAACTGTTCGGCCGCCTCTGAATGTTGTTCAGCTGCTGATATGGTGACATTTGCACAAGTCTTAATCATATGCTGAAGATCTCGTTTTGCTGTAGGAGTCGTATCAGAGTGGGCCGAGTTGTAAACCCTCTCGAAAAGTGACCAGTCGACGTACCTGTGCAAGTCCTGTGTGTTTTTGAGCTGATTTGCTGCCAGCTGCTGTACTTCACCCCACTGTGTGGGTCTGTTTTTCTGTGCCTTTTCTTGCCCTTGAACCAGTCTCTTATCAACATGCCATGACTCAGTCAAAAACATTATTACTGCACACCACTGTTATTAATACTACAGTTGAATGCTCATTCCACGTTTATCTGTTTTTCTCTTCTTTTAATATCTAATCAGCACACACTGCTTTTTGATCTAGTGCTTGAGCAGACGTGTATCACTGTGGTCTATTTTTGGTCTTGCTGTACAAACTTAGAAAGGTGTGATCTTTGATAGTGAGCACTGGTTTTCTCTTTTAGCTGCTCAAGATAGCTATTAATAGTTTTATGATACTGTAAAAGAGTTGAATACTGTGTAAAAGAGTTGAATTATTTTAGGTATTGTGTGGTGCCTTTGTTGAATTCCATTTTGGTTGTAGACAATCATTGGGATAAGAATATAAAATGACAAAAATATTTATTTATAATCTTTACCCTCTTCTATTATTTGAATTCAGGAATATGTTTCTGTTAAACGAAATCGATTTGATGGTTTAGGTTGAAGGTGTGACTTTAGTTTAAGACGTTAGTTGATATTTTAAGATTTTATAAACCTAAAACAGGTAATGGGTACTTTTATGGTTAGTTATATAGAAATAATACATTTTATTTGTTAGTCAAAAATATTGGTTGTATCACCGTCATGGCACTTTTACAGTATGTAAAAACTGCACTCTGTATTAAACACAATCCTAGAGTATAAGCTACATTTGAAGAACAAAGATAACAGTGACGGACATTATCTTTTGAAATAAAAATTGCATTGCACATTATATTAGCAGGTCCACTTATATTTTGCACTCTCCCACAATGCAAACTACAGACCATTTAGAAAAAGATCATATAATTTGCAGTAAATGATAGTCTGAAGGTGCTCATTGAGAATTCACCCCATCATGTGACATGGTGCATGTCTCACTGTACAACATATTTCAAACCTAGATATACATTTCAAAGAGGCTGTTTAAATGATGTATTCTGGTTTTGATATGCAAAATTCTTAGTGTGACAGCCTCATACGAAAAAAAAACATGGTGTTTTACTTCATGCCTTTGTATTAAAACTACAAAAAGTGGAACTTTTTGTAAATAATTCAAGATGGTATTCTGAGATGCATGTGGCAGATTCCATATTCCATTGCATATTTGCAAGGCCCTTGTATACCATATATATATTGAATAAAGTACATAGTTTTCTATTAGATACAGTATTTGGCATTAGTGTTAAACTACTTTAATGCCTAGTCTCTAACTTGAGAACATCATATCTGATATTAACTGTTTTAGACGTGACACACTCTGGAAAAGTGTTAAGATTTTGAGGATTTTTTATTTTATTTGGTCATGTCATTTTTGGTCAAACATTTTGTTGATTTTAATGTCTTTTCTTTTGGCTATGATGACTGTTGGTTATATAAACATATATATAACGAGACCCTGAAGCTGCATTTCTACCTGTTACAGATATTACTTTTGAACAGTTATCTCGTGAATAAACACATTGACAACCTTGTACAATTGTGATTTAGCCATGCATCTGTTAATGTATGTTTATCAAGAGAGAGTTGAAAAATGTTTTAACAAGGACCTTAATCTTTAGGACCTGTGACTGACTAGAGGGACTGTTAAAGGGATGGTTCACCCAAAAATGTAAACTCTGCCATAGTTAACCCTCATGTCATTCCAAACCTGAATGACTTTATTTCTTCTGCAAAACACAAAAGCAGATATTTTGAAGAATGTTGGGAACCACACAGATTTGGTGACTACTGACTTGCATTGTTTGGAGAATTAAATAGAAAAAACAACAACAATGAGACACTTCTCAAAATATCTTATGTTTCAACAGAAAAAAGAAAGTCAGGTTTGAAACGACATGAGGGTGAGTAAATGATGGCAGAATTATGGTTTTTGGGTGAACTATCCCTTCAAGTTTGCCTTCAGTTCCCCAAGCTTTCAGTGTCTGCTCACAGAATCACTCATTGGCTTCCAAGCACCAAAAACAAAAACCGATGACTAGTGAATCAAGCTGATGTTGTGTCCTAGGTGGCCTACAGGTGTGTCAGTGTATTATTAAGCAAATAAATAAAAAAGATTTAAAATCTCTTATGCTGTTTTTAAAAATCTTTTTTAAGAATATTATTAAAATACAGATATCAAGGTACTCTGATATATTTTCTGGCAAATATTTGACCCTGCATTTAGAATTTCATCTAAGCAGATTTCATTACAAAAGCCATTTAGTAAAACTAATCAGCTTTAGCTTCATTGAAACAATTCAGTTAATGTGTTCTGACACACACATTATAGTATGCACAAATTGAGAGCACAGATGCAAAGCAATAGAACACAAAAATAATATCTGTAAAGTAAAAGTGTTTTTCAAAGAAGTGTTACAATTACGTAATGCCATTTCATGGAACAACTTTTATAACCGCCCATGCAGGGGATCTGATTATAAATGGTGTTATTTCTGCTGAGATGCTGGTCTGCTGTTCTGGGTTGGTGGTCTTAATTCGGCTTGGCTCTCCTGAGTGACTGGTCTAGATGAAACCTGTTGGCTGAGGTGATTTCCTGGTCTAGACTGAGTTTGGTTTACTGGGTTAGACTGAGCTTGCTGGCTTGTTGGTCTAGACTGGTCTTGGCTATACTGTGATTTGGGCCTCTGGTTTTGGTCTGGCTCATTCACAGGCATTTCTGACTCTTCTGCAGGCTGGTCCACATTTATGGTTTCCTGTAAGGAATTGATTTAGTCAGAATTCAAATAAGCAGTGTTATCTAATACCATAGCATCATACATTGGAGATATTAAATACCCACCACATTGTTAACAGTTCTGTTTGTAGCCTGGCTGCCACCAGGGGCCTCATGAGTCTGGTTTGTGGAAAAGTTCATCTGTCTCCAGGTCTTGAGGCGATCCTGGCCCTCTTGTGAGCGGGCAGTGGGGTTTAGGGAAGCAGGAGGGATATAGCGAGGTAAATCCCAAGTGCCTTGAAATGCTGGCCATGCACTTCCACTCTAATAATGAAATCATTTATAAATAGTAAAATAAAACTGCTGCAAAACTTTTTAAGCTTGGTAATTACATTTAAATTTCATGCAAGTTCATGCAAATCATCAAAACAAACCTTTGTTCTCACACCAGGTAGAAGGTGGCCATGGTCTGTGGCTATAAATGTAGTGTGGCCTTCTGCTGCTGCTGGTCTCTTGAGGAACAAAAAGTAAGTAAATAGACCAAACACAAGTATTTGTAATATGAACTAGGCAATTATTCTCTCCACCCAGTGCAATTGGTATAACTGCATCATTTAAATGAAAAACGACTTTCATTTTTTATTTTTCCTTTCTTTTCTTTTTCTTCTTTTTGAAAAAAGTAAACATGTATCATGTTGGCACATTCCTTTGTGCTCTGTTTGATTGACGTGCATGCTTTTGCATTTGCAAGTTTAATGCCATTGGCATGGTTCACTGTTTGTGTAATGAAAATGCATAATAACAGTAAAATGTACACTACAGTTCAAACATTTGATTCAGTAAGATTATTTTTGAAAGAAAGAAATACATTTATTTACTGTATTAAATTAGTCAAAAGTGACAATAAAGATATTTGTTACAAAGGAATTGTTTTCTATCAATAAAGAATTTCTATTTCAAATAAAAGCTTTTTTTGTAAACGATTAAACTGACATTTATTCCAGCTCAAACGACTTTACCAGTGGGACTGACTGTGTTACCTCTTTGAAATGTTTTGGGATGGTCCAATTCTGGAGCTTTTGCGACTTAAAGGCATTTTCATACTGCAGAAAACACCATAAATATGCTAAATACGTCAACGTTATTCGATTAAACAATAACAAAAGAAATAAATAAAATATCATGGTAGAATAGTTACAATTTTCATATATTTCCCTTTCGTTCAGCGCACAGTGGTATCCTCCCGTACGAGGGGGGCGCTGGAGACCATTTGAGCTCTACGTTGCACGCTGAACGATCCGCTGAAGGAACGTCACAACAGCGTTGTATTAGGACAACCGACTTATACAAAAGGAGCAGTTGTTGAGTTTGTGCATGCGAACAGTAAGTACAAATTGAATAATACGCTTTGAAACTGTAACCGTTTTGATGCAAGCCGTGAAATGAGCACGCAGGCGTCAACATCTGGATCTGTCAATGAGGCGAGAGGCAGAAGAAGTGCTGAAGATGTCGTCCACATTTATGGTTTCCTGTAAGGAATTGATTTAGTCAGAATTCAAATAAGCAGTGTTATCTAATACCATAGCATCATACATTGGAGATATTAAATACCCACCACATTGTTAACAGTTCTGTTTGTAGCCTGGCTGCCACCAGGGGCCTCATGAGTCTGGTTTGTGGAAAAGTTCATCTGTCTCCAGGTCTTGAGGCGATCCTGGCCCTCTTGTGAGCGGGCAGTGGGGTTTAGGGAAGCAGGAGGGATATAGCGAGGTAAATCCCAAGTGCCTTGAAATGCTGGCCATGCACTTCCACTCTAATAATGAAATCATTTATAAATAGTAAAATAAAACTGCTGCAAAACTTTTTAAGCTTGGTAATTACATTTAAATTTCATGCAAGTCATGCAAATCATCAAAACAAACCTTTGTTCTCACACCAGGTAGAAGGTGGCCATGGTCTGTGGGTATAAATGTAGTGTGGCCTTCTGCTGCTGCTGGTCTCTTGAGGAACAAAAAGTAAGTAAATAGACCAAACACAAGTATTTGTAATATGAACTAGGCAATTATTCTCTCCACCCAGTGCAATTGGTATAACTGCATCATTTAAATGAAAAACGACTTTCATTTTTTATTTTTCCTTTCTTTTCTTTTTCTTCTTTTTGAAAAAAGTAAACATGTATAATGTTGGCACATTCCTTTGTGCTCTGTTTGATTGACGTGCATGCTTTTGCATTTGCAAGTTTAATGCCATTGGCATGGTTCACTGTTTGTGTAATGAAAATGCATAATAACAGTAAAATGTACACTACAGTTCAAACGTTTGATTCAGTAAGATTATTTTTGAAAGAAAGAAATACATTTATTTACTGTATTAAATTAGTCAAAAGTGACAATAAAGATATTTGTTACAAAGGAATTGTTTTCTATCAATAAAGAATTTCTATTTCAAATAAAAGCTTTTTTTGTAAACGATTAAACTGACATTTATTCCAGCTCAAACGACTTTACCAGTGGGACTGACTGTGTTACCTCTTTGAAATGTTTTGGGATGGTCCAATTCTGGAGCTTTTGCGACTTAAAGGCATTTTCATACTGCAGAAAACACCATAAATATGCTAAATACGTCAACGTTATTCGATTAAACAATAACAAAAGAAATAAATAAAATATCATGGTAGAATAGTTACAATTTTCATATATTTCCCTTTCGTTCAGCGCACAGTGGTATCCTCCCGTACGAGGGGGGCGCTGGAGACCATTTGAGCTCTACGTTGCACGCTGAACGATCCGCTGAAGGAACGTCACAACAGCGTTGTATTAGGACAACCGACTTATACAAAAGGAGCAGTTGTTGAGTTTGTGCATGCGAACAGTAAGTACAAATTGAATAATACGCTTTGAAACTGTAACCGTTTTGATGCAAGCCGTGAAATGAGCACGCAGGCGTCAACATCTGGATCTGTCAATGAGGCGAGAGGCAGAAGAAGTGCTGAAGATGTCGAAGACTCCAAAAAACACTTCAGAGTCTGTCGGTTTATCATCGATACTGGTATTTGCAATTTTTTTCTGAAATGTTTAGAGATGTGTTTTTAATCTCTTAAACTGTCAAAATTGTAAGGATGCACTGCAGCTGCTTGCTAGTTCATTCTCAGTATCCAAGGATGAATTGCTGTGCAGGTTCTGATCCCATGTGCATCCTATGTTTTCCATATCTGTAGGAGTGAAGTTAGGCATGAGATCTGTGCCCATGGCTACAGCATGTGCGCTGTATCACAGGTTCTTCCAGTCTGCCAGTTTGCAGGTCTATGAGCCTTACCTAGTGGCCATGTCTGCCATCTACCTCGCAGGCAAAGTAGAAGAGCAACATCTCAGGACAAGAGATATCATCAATGTCTGTCACAGGTATATAAGGGGGATATTGAGTAGCTGTTTTGTTCTCAGAGTTCATGTATAGGCATAGTAGGTCCTTTTTCTTTGATCCAGGTATTTTCACCCAGAGAGGGAACCACTGGAACTGGATGGGAAGTTCTGGGAGTTGAGGGACAGTATAGTACAATGTGAGCTGCTCATCCTTCGACAACTTAACTTCCAAGTGTCCTTTGAGCACCCACACAAGGTAATGCATGCAATGGTTACCTTGGTTCTCAAGCTTTTAGAATAAGTAATATATCTGTTGTCCACAGAAAAGAAAAGTTGTATAGGTTTTAAACAACAAGGGGAGAGTAACTGATGACAGAATTTTGGGTGAACTATTCAATTAATGACTGGCAGCAAACATTTTGCATGAACCGTTTGCAAAAAGCCTATATAATATATACTGTGCTTTGTGTGCAAAACAATATAATATAAAAATATTTAAAAATAGTAATGCTCTGCTACAAACAGTTTACCTTGCTTTTGCGAATTTAAATATTCACATTAGTTATCAGTTATTGTTTTTTTCCCCCACAGACATAAACTTTTTACTATAAAGCAGGGTTATTATCATAAACTAAGCTATTAAAAAAAATGTGTTAATAGAATTAAAGTTGAAATAAAATATGAATGTTAGGTAAAAAACTTAAACTAAGCTGATGCCTTGGCTACTAATTGAAATAAGTTTAAGCTGAAGCACTAAAATGAGTAAATAAATTATATATATTGAAAATGAAAAAAGTTTAAAACCGAAAGCTAATGAAAAACATTATTAAACTAATATAGTATGTCAGTGCTCTAATACTGCCTTAAAGTGGCATCACTGGCAGAGGTTCTTTATGCACAGTGCCGATACTCAATGAATCGATTTATTATTTTCATTCTCGATTGTTAACATTTAGATCAATTATATGTTGTAAACGTACTCTCATCTTTGTACCTTCTCTATCTAATGCTGTCCAAACTTTGTGTTTTGCTCCATCTAACAAACTTCATTTTGCTGTGTCCCAGTACCTGCTGCAATACCTGCTCTCTGTAAGGAGTCTTTTGAATCGCCACGCCTGGTCTCGAACCCCCATTGCAGAGACGGCACTGGCTGTATTAAAAGACAGTTACCATGGCACTGTGTGTGTCCACCATAAGCCTCAACACCTTGCCCTCACCTCCCTCTATCTTGCTCTCCAGACATATGGAGTGCAGCTCCCCAGAGGAGAACTAGAGTGGTGGCAGGTATGATTTTTTTTTTTTTTACAGTTTCATGTGGAGAAAAACATAAAATGTCCAGGCAGCATTTGGGTCATGCTGTGTCTGCATTGAGTCACTGAGATTGAACGTTGACTAGTTTGATTCTCACCATTGCCAGAGCCATCAGGCATAAGTAGAGCCACGATTGCAGTAACCTTTAGAGAGCAGGAAGTAGTTCCCATGGCAATAAGGGCACCTAATAGCTGCAGCCTGGTCTGAGAGAAATAACATTGTCTTTCACACAAGATGTGTTCCCTTGGTGACACTCTAAAGTAATATTTAAGATTCAGACCATTTCATATATTTCAAAGGACTCTTAAAACCACTTGCTTGGCTTTAGTTTCCTACAATTCTGTCAAGTTCTATCAAAGAAATACAATAGACATTTTCTGACATATTTAGCCTTAAGACTATGATTCATTTTTCTAGTCATTTGTTGAAGCTTTTTAGGTAAGAAGAGACCATCTAACTGACATGTAAAGGGACCTCAATTTTGTTTTGTCTTTTATTGAGTGGGTGTATCTGACATAAGACAAAATAATGATGTGGAAAATCTATTCAAATAATTTTTTGCAATTGGTTGTACAGAAATCATAAAAAAAAGAGTACTTTTTCTTGTTTTGTCTAGACTTTGTTTCCAAGTGGGCAGCTAAAAACCTGTGCAATATTAAGATAATCAATATATATCAATGGTCATAAATATGACTTTTTAATGTTATTGGTCTGATAAGTAAAATAGGCTGATGCATTCAATAAATTATAGCCAAATGATCATGTGAGCCCACATTATTTCTAGTTGGTCTGCCTATTGATGAATACAAATAAAATAAATATGACTAAATTTATTTCAAAAGTATTATTAAACAATTGTGGAAAAATATCAGAGTAGTTGTATGCATGGCACACAGGCATTTCTGTGTTTTATTTGTTAAAGCTATGATTTCCATTTTACATTTATAAAAAAAAAAAAATGTTGGCAATAATAATGTGTTCTTAATTCCAGTACTTCATAAAAGGCTTAAACTTGTTAAGTACCGGTAATTATGAGATATGAAAGGTTGTTTCTGCCATTGAATTCCATATGATGTTTGGTGTTATTTGACACATGTAGAGATCTGGATCAATACCAGAATATTGGCCAATATATTGATTACAAATTATGAATGCAAAAATATGTAAATGCTAATATGGTTGTGGCCAAAAGTGATTTCCGGCCTAGGAAAATGGACATCATCTCCTTCATCAAAAATTTTATTTTGGATTTTGTAAGCATGTTGTGTAGTTGTGCTTGGAGTGTAAAACTAATGTACATGCGCAATTGCTTCATTTGTAATAATGCAATAAAACATGGCAAATTGTGTCATACAAAGAAATTACAAATTTTATTGTATTTAATGTATGCTTTATTTCCTGTCAACTCATTTTTGCATAGTAAAATAAAACCTGTATTCAATGATATGCTGTAGTTTGCTTTCCAAATAATTTTGTCAGTTCAGTATCTTAACCAAGTTAGTTTTTCTTCATTGCAATATATTTTGATCTTGCAGGGTCATTGAAAGCAGACATTGAGAAATATCCTCTCCAGACATCACTATTGGCCACTGCTGTATAATTAATTATTGGTTATTATTAAATATAATAATCCTCACACTATTAAAATTTCCACATTGGGGCATCCCTGTGTAATATATATCATATGGGCATGCCATCTGAGGCTGAAACTAGCAGACTTTAGGTTTTTGGTACTTTTATGAAATAGCAAACATTTATGTCTAGTTCATTGAATGTACCATTGCCCACTCTCTGTTTTTTCTTCATGTTTCTCTCGCCTTTATTGGGTTTCCTGTTTACATTGACCTATTTTAAATGGAAATTTGAGGTAAAAATGTAGCCACAGCAAGTCCTCTTAGAGGAAATTAAAATAGGGGGCAGTTGTTTTCACTAGACTGCAAAAAGAACACAACTACAAGAGACTAGACTCTATTTTTAAGTTGCCTCAGAACTAATATTTAGATGTCATCTCCGATATAGCATGCAGGTGGACCCAACTCTGGGATCTGCATTGATGTTTTTGCTTGTTTCCCTGCAGGTTGTCTGTGCAGACATCACCAAGGCTCAGATTGAAACCATCATGAGTGAATTACTGCAGCTCTATGACATGGAGGCCAAGTGCACCTGAGAGACAAAGAATGAAACGGGTACTAAAACACTGACATGGAAACCCAACACCTTCGGCTGTATATGTTCCTCAGAGACATTTTGTGACTGCCTGAGATCTGTGACGATGATCTTAACACATGCATTGAGCCGTCTTTCTCCTGATGTTGTGATTTAACCTAATGAACTCTACTTATTAATTACATTTAATTAATGTTTCTAAAGTTTCTTCAAGAATGATGAGGGGAATTTATATATATTATATATATATATATATATATATATATATATATATATATATATATATATATATATATATATATATAATCTTATTGTAAGTGGCGGTATGAAATCCAGACTTTAGCTATACCACATCAATCAATTCCCAGCCACCGACCTACTTTCTTCTCCTACCTTGTGCTATTTTTCCTCCTAAAGAGGGGGAGAAATTACAAAAGGAATGTAATAGCTGGTTGAAGGAAGAATGAAACAAAAGAAGAGCCATCCTGTCCCCAGAGCTAAATTCTGAAGTAAACGGCTAGATCGGAGCCATTTCTTTTATATTTTCTAATTTAATTACTCTCCTCCTCTCCCTACAGAACTTGTCCCGGTAGGCTTCTTTATGTAACTCATTAAAGCAGTATTACTGTATGCTGTAAAGCAAATCAGCACAGTTTTAGTAGACACCAGACTTCAAAAACACTTCACTGATTTAAACTTTTCATATTCTCAGCTAAAGATGAAAATTAACTGACAGGTTCATTAAAAGTCTACATTTAAAAATGTAATTTCTAATAAACATTTTTTTGCACTAATGCTTTTTTGAAAGCACCTGTAAATAGATTTATTTTTAGTTTGTTTTTTCTCCATCTATGATGTTCTACTTGAAATTTCTGGATCTAGTTAGGTCAGGACATTGCTCTAGAGTGGATCTTAATAAGTTACTATGGCAACTGCTATTGTAGAGGGAGCCTTTGAAACATACAAATGTGAGACTCCATTATAGCACACCTGTCAAGCTCAGCACATGAAATAATTGCAGTCAGGGAAATGTACTAATTTAGTCATTATTTACCAAATCAATCATTGCTAACATGTTAAACAGCTGTTTCCCCTGTAGCTAACTGAATTGTGTTGACCGGAGACTGCAACCGCTGTTTTAAGAGTTCCCTTGGCATCAGATTTCAGTATGTGCTACATTTGTTATCTAGATCGTGAAAAATAAAAACTAGAAGGGTTATAAAATCAGTATGATTTAGGAATAGTGTGTTTAATTACTATTACAATATTAAAATTGTTGTGATTTGTTTGCATAAATAACAAATTTTATTACATGGTTAAATTTGTTTAACATTAGGTATCATGCACTAACGATTTTATAGCATTTATTTATATTGATTAATATTAATTTCTACATATACAAACACAATTTTCATGTGTAATAGGATGTATTATATAACTAATAATATATTGAACAAACATTAACAAGCAACAGTTTCAACACATTTAACCTAGATTAATTAATGCTGTAAAATTAGTTGTTTATTGTTAGTTCATGATACGTAATACATTAACTGATGCACTAAAAAACTGCCTGTAGTGTTAGTTATTTTACAGTTTAGGGTGATGCAGATGGATGAATTTCCTTTGCAGTAAGCTGTTTTATGGATTATATTTGGGGGGAAAATCTGAACATTCCTGCTTCACTCTCCCTCTCTTTGCCACACGCACACAGTTACGTACACACAAACACACACACATCTCTCAGCAGGCAGGCCCTAATGCTGGGCATCATGAATTATGGAGAGGGTACATGTGCAGCCGGATTCTCTTCCATCAATAAAACATCAGCATGGCCCTCACTAGAGTGCTGGGATAAGGAAGGATGGGATTGAATATGTGACTCTAACCTTACTCTCTTTGCCATCTCTCTTGGTTCTCTACTTTCAATCTGTGTCCCCCCATTACTAGATTTTGTCCTGTGTGAAAGCAAGACTCTTTGTTGCTTTCTTGACTCTGCTTTTCTCTCATGGTGTCCATCTTGCAGTCTTTAATCTCTTTCTCTTTACTGTCCTTTCTCCTCACTGCCTCACATTGCAGATCACTCCAAACTCTTTTCTCCCATTTAAGCTTTCTCTATTAACATTCCTCTCTTCCATTTTCCTCTAATGGTGCTGGATGAAATATGTTTTTTTCATAATTCTGGACCTTTTTTTAATACACTGTCACAACTGATTTCCAAAAAAATCTATAGGAAACAAAGACTAAAGAAGATTTCAATTGTACAGGTTCTTAAAGGAACCGTTTATTCCAAAAATGAAATATTGTCATCATTTGCTCACCCTCATGTTGTTCCAACCCTGTATGACATGCTTTCTTATGTGGAACAAGAAATGCTCTTCTTATTGTCCACATAATAAGTCAATTTAGTCCCAAAAACATTTACTCCATTGATATTAATTGTATGGCCAAAAACTGTTCTTCACAATATATGCTTTTGTGTTTTGCTGCAGAAATTGAGTCATACAGGTTTGTAACAACATGAGGGGTGAGTAAATTATGACAATTTTACTTTTGGTTGAACGAGCCATTCAACCTGCAAATCACTGTATAGACATCCTTGAGCCAGAACAATTGTTTTTCGTCATCCCTCAAATTGTTCAGTTTCTTCAGTTTCAAACCTGCAAACAACTCTGTCCCCCTTTAGAATAATCCCTGACTTTTTTGTATATGACTTTCCCATTTTGGATGTACTACAATATCTGTTGCAGACCAAAGACCCAGTGTTTTTCTCTTCTTGACATAAGAACTCCTGCCAGAGTTGGGATACAGCCAAATCAATCAACTCTCAGAGAGGCAAGCTATTGATGTTCAATTCAGAGTGTGCTTAAGAAAATCTAAATGAAAGTGTTGTAAATGTATCTTTTTGTATTTACAGCATAATGAGAAACGGAAAGAAGTGCAAGGGGGTTTAGAAATTAGTAGTTACAGGTATAAACTGCCGTAGAAATGGGATGATTAGGCAAAGAACCATTAAAGGGATAGTTCACCCAAAAATGAAAATTTTGTCATCATTTACTCAGCTCCATATTGTCTCAAACCAGTATGACCGACTTGTGTCTGTGGAAAAGAAGATGTTTTAAAAATGATTCAGTGTTGTTTTTTGTCCATACAATGAAGGTCAGTGGCGTCTAGTTTTGTTCTGGACCACATTGGCTTTTCATGATATGAACAGAAACCGTTCAAAAATATGTTCTATTGTGTTTCACTGAAGAAGGAAAGGCATATGTTTGGAACAGCATGAGGGTGAGTAAATTACCATTTTTAAATCTCTTTAATACTGGTCTCAAAATGTTTTCTGCTCAACCACTCTGTTGAAATAGCTGTGAAATGGTGAATGGTTCAAATCTAATCTCTATCCCAGAATAGAGAGACTTCAGATGCAACGACATTCATGTTGAATCCTGGAGATGTGGGTTGGAGTTCACAGACATGTAATGGTCTCACTCGGGTAGCTTTTGAATGAAGTTCCTCAGTAAAGCGTCGAGATGTAATACACGATTGTGCGGAATGTGTTACAGACTCCATCTGTTGGGTTGGGCTCCAAGGCTGGGATGCACTACCTGCAGGGCTAATGCACGGCAGCTCCCAGATGGACAGCCATCTCGTAAACTCCTCACCTCTGAATTATAGATACAACTCCTCATCTGAAACTTTCTCTTTACTTTCCCGGACGTGCCTCACAAATATTTCAGTCTGGGCAGTCTTGTGTGCACAAGTAGGTAAGAAAAATGTGGTGTTCAAGAATGTGCAATTGGAGCTATGCAAAATCAGCCATTTTTTTGCATGTCGATTGCAAGGACAATGAAACATTAAAAAATTGTTGTTTGTTGGTCTTGGGAGTATATTGTGGACAACTAGGTGCAACCTACCATAAACTATTATCCAATTCTTGGCATTTCCCTCTGTGCTTTTGAGTTAACGTGAACATCTGCTGAAGAGCATTTAGTGCCTGTACGTATGCGTGTTTGCATATGAAGGCTTCAGGAGAGGCCCACTTGAGCACTCGTCAGCACATAAAAGCTTTTTCTCGCTGGTCTGAGAGGCCTCCTGCATTAGGGCAATTAGATTTGAGCCCTGTATGCCTGGAGACAGCTAGAAGATTACACCTGCGTGGGTGTGATGGGGCGTCTGAATTTGTAAATTGAAAACACAACTGGAAAGTGAAACGTACACCAAGAGGATTATGGTCCAGATTTGAATCAAACGCACAGCATAGAGAAACTGCTATGTAAAAATTGTCACAAATATTTGACTAATTATATAAATTTTAATTTAGAAATATATACCCTATAGTTATCTATAGGTTATATCAACCTATATATGTGTTTATTTATTTTCTTAAAGGGGTCATATGATGTTGCTAAAAAGAACATTATTTTGTGTATTTGGTGTAATGAAATGTGTTTATGCGGTTTAAGGTTAAAAAAACACATTATTTTCCACATGCTGTACATTATTGTTTCTCCTCTATGCCCGCCTTTCTAAACCCATTATAAACGAGGCATTCCTTGCATCCAGTGGGCACATAATTATGGATTATAATGACTTATACACAACGAAAACACAGCGTGACACACGGCGGCCTAGAGTGAGCAGAGGCGGGTGGGCTTGAGAATGGCGTGGCCGGCGATTTTGACGAAGGAGCGCCCGGAAGGACATGTGACGACTCCGGGCTGGACTCCGCGTCCACGGTGAAAGCCGATCCAGTGATCCACAGCGAAGTTGATGTATTTCCTCATCAACCAGCACGGACCAGCT